CCCAAACAAGCCTCAGCAACTCTGGCTATTTCCTGTAGCTCACACAGGAATGTCAACCATAGTTTATACACTTTAACGTATTATAATTTAACAGTTTGTCAAATGGCAGTGCACTTTAACGTAAACACTGATGTCTGCTGATTGACAACACACTGCGGTTTTATCAGAGTCCACGCCCCATCGAGTCCACACATTTCAAAGCCTGTGTGACTAAAAACCTGCCGGCAGTGTGACGATGAGGCTCCTCAAAGACGATAACACATTTGACACATGAGCCACTGGGGCCTGCCAGCAAACGCAGGTCTTTCACTTTTTGTGCTTTTTGTGGAATACAAAATTTGTGGGAAATAAAGCATCAAGCAGACAGCGCAACCTGCTGTTCTCTCAACAAACACAACGTCATCACCTGCTGTTGATTTAAACATGGCTTTTAGGGGTCGGTTAAACCTGGGCAACCTGTTAGAATGGCTCACCGATACCTGCAGGGCAGCACGGAGAATTCAATTGTAAATACAGAGTAATAAATACAGTATCGTCGTCTATAGATTATCTATGGCACGGAGGATCAGTGCAATTAAAGAGCAGTCTCTCCAAGGAGAGACTGCCTGAGCTCTGAGTTAAAAGGGGAGTGTGCAGATAAAAGACCGAAGAAACAATTCACGCCAGCTCAGTAACAAACTAATCTTTCTCCGTCTGTGAGCTCTCTGAAAAGATTCTAAATTAAAACGTCTGTTCTAATCATCACGATGTGACTGCAAAGACCTCGGAGGAGGAAGACTAATGCAAAGGAGGGAATAATGCAAACTAGGCAGAAATAAGTAACGAGGATAACAAGAGCTTCACGTCACACGATGTTTGTGGCGGGTCACGCTCGAGCAGACGCCGGCCCCGGCGCCCTGGGTGAGTCGTGAGGAGTCGGGCTCTCCGTCTCAGAGGCGCTGGTTTCATCGTCGTCATCGTCCGTCTGCTCTGCGCTGTGGTACAGCATAAAAGCCTGGGTCTTATGGGTGATGGTGATGGTGCAGGGGCCCTGCGCCCACGGCTCTCCATCCACCTGCATGGGCATCGTGGAGCTCTTCAGAACCAGCTGGAGATGGAGGAGCAGCGCACAATGAAAAAATGTTAGCTAAATCATACATAGGCCTATAGGTTAGCTTAGGCCAGGGGTCGGCAACCTGGGGCTCTGGAGCCGCATGCGGCTCTTTTGTCCTTATACTGCGGCTCCGGGTGGTTTGGGAAAATAAATTAGAAGTATTTAGCTGAAGTGTATTTTATTTGTGTTTAGTTCTTTTTTTAACTTGTAGTTCTAAATTGGAAGATTATTGTGATTTTGAAATATAAAAATAAAATTATATTATATTATTTTTTCACCGCTCAATATAAGCGTCACACTCGCAGAAGCCGGTGTACCCGCCGAAACGCCAGTTATGGATCTTCGGATCCACATTATGTCAGCAGCTCCACCATGAACTATGTTAAAACAAACACCGCTCACGCCTCACAGATGACTTAAAGTCCTGCGTAAAGATGAAAGCCCCGATTTGCAGACGCTGTGCGCAGCGGTCGGGACCATAAGTCTTATTGTAAACATATCACGGCAGACCCGACGATGTTTTCATGAACACGCTTTTCAGCATTTCTTTACTGACCACTTTTCACACACGGTTGCTGTACGCATACAGCCGGCTGTAGCTTTTCAGCTCACAGCCCGACAACACAACTACCACTTTAAGGCAGCGAGGCGTGATTGCGGGTGCAGCTCAGGTGCGTCCGCCTCCCAGCGGCGCTGCAGACCACGCCCCGCCACACACATTAACCAGGTAAAATACATATTTAGGCGGAATTTTTCAAATATCTATTTTTCCTTTTTTAGCCGCATAGTGCTTTTTTCCAATTACTTTTTAAAAGTCAGGTCAAGGCTCCAAAAGCACAAAGGCGATATAAGGGTGGCGACTCACAGCAGTTTTTGTTTGCTGGATCATTTTAGTTCAGCTGGGTGTCTTTCCTTTTGTTATATTTCTTTAAGAGTTCAAAATGTGTTAATTACATAAATAAAATGTAATTTTCTCTGTAGCACTTCATGGATTTTATAAGCAACACACCTTAGTTGCTCTGTGGATTCTTTTAAAAAGCAGTTAAAAACTTTTCTGTTCAAACAAGCCTTTTGTTGATCTACGTATTTTAGATTCTTTACATTATTTACATTTGATCTTTTACATTGTCTATAATGTCTATTGATTGTATTGTTTATTTTAAGATTTGTGTACAGCGCTTTGTGACTGCCTCTCTGTGAAAAGCGCTTAATAAATAAACTTTACTTACTTACTTTAGTTGTTCACACAAAGCATAAAGGTAAAAAAACAATATATACATTGTTATCTTCATTTTAGATTTCAAAAAGTATTTGCGGCTCCCAGTGTTTTCTTTTGCGTGGAAACCGGGTCCAAGTGGCTCTTTGGGTGTTAAAGGTTGCAGACCCCTGGCTTAGGCCAATCATTCACAGTCTAAATAGCGATCAAGTATACATACTGGTACAGCAGTGGGTGCTCATGTTAAACACGACCAAATCTTTAAATCTATGTATATAAAAGTAATCACTGTTTCAGGTTTTTTTTTCTACTATTGGCTCTGTAGATGACCATATATAGCACACAGGCACACAGCTCCAGATGTGAACACAGATGTACAAACCTTCTGTTTAGGAGAGGCAGCCAATCAGAAGAAAGTTGGCTTATAGGGAGACATGTATAAGATAAATAAGACTTATTTTGAACTGTGATTAATGCAAAGCTACTCCAGTAGAATCCAGTAATATAAATATGTAGCTCAGAAAAGGTTTACTTTATTACCTTTAATAATAACAACTCAACGTGAGACTAAAATCAATAACTTTTATCTTTGTTCTGTTTTTTTTGTTGTTTTGTTTTCCTTTAACAACTTTATTTCAGATCAGATTGGCAACAGTCCAGTTTAAAGCTTTCCTCGCCATTAACAGCCTGTTTTTTAATAAGTATTTATTTTTTATATGAAAGATTTTATATGTATTCTCTTATTTTTATTTTTTATTTTTTGTAATGTGTGAGTGCCACCCTAAAGTACCTTCAGAGCCCACCAGGGGGCTTCAGAGCAAGCTTAGGCAAACCCTGGATTTGGCCATTAATAGCAGTATTTTAAGCCTTATTTCTAATTCTTCTGATTGAAGCCTGTGAGAGCAAACAAAACAAAAAATGTTACTGATATAGATTATTTTTCTTCTCATCTATAACTCTGTTCCTCCATTACCGACACCCTCAGTTAGCAGCGATGCTTTTAAAATGTATTTAGTTAAATATGTGAGATATTCAAATACCAGTAAAATGAGTTTGTTGTTGTGGGTGCGCTCTGGAAGCAAAGTCAAATCCACACGCAGGCGCGCCTTTGCAGTTTTTACAAAATGATGGTTGAAAGTAGCTGCTGTAATCTTAAGGCTTTACACAGCAGGCGTGTAAAATCTGTGCAGTGCTGGAGCCATTTATTCTTTTTTTCCTTTTTTTTTGTTCTTGGTTTACTTTTTTATCTTGGGTTATTTACAAGGTTTATTTTCAGGTTAATAATTGCTTAATTTTTTGTTTTGTATCTTTGTAAGTCAGACAGGAAGAACTGTAAGGCCATTTTCTGTAAGTAAAAGAACTAGTATAGGACCAGCATGCACTGGGGTGGGCCTGTGGTTTTTTTCCAGAGCAGGAGAAGCAGCACGAAACAACATAAAATGGATCTTTGTTTGTTGCTTGCTGGATAAATAAACCATAAAACACAACTTTCAAGTTTTCGACATTGGACTTTTGTTTTGCCTGCATACAAAACATCACCACAGTTACAATATTTATGTAGTTAAATATGTGAGATATTCAAATACCAGTAAAATGAGTTTGTTGTTGTGGGTACGCTCTGGCAGCAAAGGCAAATCCACACGCAGGTGTGTGCATTTATAGTTTTTACAAAATGATGTTTGAAAGTAGCTGCTGTAATTTTAAGGCTTTACACACCAGGTGTTTAAAATCTGTGCGAATATCTCCTGTGTTACAAAAAATGCACAAGATTAATTATTCTCAAATCACTCCCTGATATCATGAAATATGTTCAAAAGCATGCATCAGTATGTCTATTCTGCAAAAACGCATCGCTTTTTCACTACATGCTTGGTGTGTGATGGCCTTAATTAACAGTGAATTTTTTAATGAACGCTCTTTATGTCACAACGTAAAAGGAGAATGAATGAAGGTGAAAGCAATCGAGGGTAAACGGACACATGCAGGAGCTCAGTAACAAAAGCCTAATCAGATTAGTCACAATTAGATTGGATTGAGGCGAATGGCAGTGAAAAGTAATTACTGTCGTTCTGCGCGGCCAGTAAATGAGGTAAACAGGAAGCCTTACTCTGACAGTGTGAGCCTGTCCCAGCCGTACAGGGTTGGCCAGCTTGACCTGGATCTGCGCACAGTGGAAGGAGCCAAACACACCCACCACCTCCAACAGGCCATCATCCAGCCTGCAGAGACAGGAAATAGCATGTTTACTTTCCATAGTAACCTGAAGCAGTCGGCGCCAGATGGGACAGTTCATATTTTCCTGACCAATATGCTCTTAAATGACCTACCGGGTAGGGGGGCACGGTTCGTCTCCCATACCCTCCCACAGCCTGCAGCCTCCGCCCCAGTAGCCGATGTTACAGACTATGATGCCTTCCAAACTGGGAAGCTCCACCCTTTCCCCATCCAGTTCCAGCTGTGGCAGGAACACATGCAAACACACATAAATGTTTCACGAATCTTTATGTGTTATAAAAACATTTTTTAATTTCATTAATTTCATTTAATTTAGCTGTAACTACGATACACACTGATCGAGACATTTGTCAGTAAGATCACCTCAAAATGGGCAAATATGTCTGAAAACGTTGATCAAAACATAGAAAACATCAACCAGGTAAGAAAAATAAGACAGTGCAGACTATAAAATATTTAATTTGTGTTTACACATTAAATAAATTAATTAATTAATCTTACTAAAGTTAAGATAAACATCTTTAGCACCTGCAAAGCTGAGTAATTAACACTTCTTGATTCTGAAATGTTGAAACCTATAATTGAAAAGCTGTCAGGTTGTTTTTTTAACCTTTGCATTTTCATTAAAGTGTAATCAAAGCTTGGCTACATAACAGCACCAAAAACATCTAAACACCCATTCAGCAAACTGTACGGGATCTGATAAAGAACTGGATTCCTGCACAGCGTCTTTGGGCTCTGCGACAGGAGACTCTGACCAATCGCAAGTGAGCAGAGGACAGAAGGATTCAAATCCTGTGTGAAGATAATTATTTCTAAAGTAAATTTACATGTTTGTATTTTGGAACTTTCTTTTCATGTCTCATCAGAAGCTTTTGGACCGACTTGGCAACACTGGGACCAGTCGGCTTATATACATACGCTGTTTACAGTCAAAAAGAACACTGAAAAGTTTAAAAGAGTCTTATTTTCTTTGGACTGCAGTTTCTGTGGGTAATACATTTTCTGTGTCTGGACCTTTCAAGAGATTTGCTGCACAATATAATAAATAACTGATGGTTTCTCTGCCCCCTGCTGAAGTCACAGGACAACCAATTCACATTCATAGAGAAAGCTTGATATGGAAGTGACTTACAGTGACTCGGATTCTCTTTATGAGCTTAAAACAAAAATTGCATAATGCTTCATCACGTGCACAAGTCCACCGTACCTCGATCCTCTTATCCAGATCTTTACATTCCTGCACTAAACAATCTCTGGTGCCATACAGGAAGTACACAGCCTGTGGGAAGAGGAAAGTACTCATTACTACAAAATGAAGCTGCATCTTTATGTCTCTACAAAAACAACAACAATACAATACAATTTTATTTATATAGCACATTTAAAAACCCGAAGGCACACCAAAGTGCTTCACAGTAATATGGAGAGTCAACATAAGTCAATAACAGATCGGGCACAAGCACAGACAGGATAGAGGCACTAACAGACCAGGAGAGTTAGATAAATACAAAATATGCTGAGAAGACAAAAACAGCAGTAAAATTAATAAATTTAATAAAATCTAATAGAAGATTTAAAAGGGTATTAACTGGTCGGGAAAGCCAAGTCAAATAGATATGCTTTTAATCTTGATTTAAAGGACTGGATAGAGTCCAAGGCTCGAATAGAAGCTGGGAGGCTGCTCCAAAGGTCGGGTGCAGCTGAAGGCACGATCGCCTCTGGTCTTCAGTCTAAACTTAGGTTGGGCCAGGAGTAACTGACCTGATGATATTAAAGCACGACAAGGAGTGTACAAATTCAGGATTTTAAAAGTGAGTAGCAAGATTTTAAACTCAATGCGATATTTGATTGGTAACCAGTGTAGATCAATAGGGTCAAAAAATAACAAAAACAGTTACAGGATTAAGACGTTTTTGCATTCATATTTAAACCCTGAGCCTGCTTTGTTTATTCAAATTACGGACCTTGTTGATGATGCGGCTGGAGAAGAAGGAGGGCGTTTTCTCACGGTGCGCATGGAAACTGAGCGCCATCAGAGCGTCGGGCCCCACAGAGAAGTAGTTGTTCATGGACAGAACCTGAGGAGGAAATCCAGCGTCTGCTTTATAATACA